GTTTTTCGAGACAGGGTTTCTCTGCGTAGCTTTGCGCCTTTCCTGGAGCTCACTTGGTAGCCCAGGCTGGCCTCGAACTCACGGAGATCCGCCTGGCTCTGCCTCCCGAGTGCTGGGATTAAAGGCGTGCGCCACCACCGCCCGGCCTCAGCCCACCTTCTTATAGAACCCAGGACCACCAGCCCGGGATGGCCCCACCCACAATGAACTGGGCCCTCCCCCACCAATCACTAATTAAGAAATACCTACCTCACAGGCTTGCCTGCAGCCTCATCTTATGGAGGCATTTTCTCAATTCAGGTTTCCTCTTCTCAGATAATTCTAACTCGTATCAGGTTGATATAAAAACTAGCCAGCATATTGATGACAAATTTCACCACTGTGGGCACTAGCCTAGGGGAAATTTCAAACTAGTGAGGGACATTCTGCTGGAGGCCTTGGGGTCAAAAAAAAAAAAAAAAAAAAAAAAAGACTCAACTGTGATGTGTAGCAGATATTGAACAGGGCAATAAAAAAGGATTTTGTGCTCAGCCACCGTGGAAAAGAGCCTGGTGGTTCTTCAAAAACACTGAATATGGGATTACTGTGTGATCCAGAAATGCTGCTCCTAGGCAAACACTAAAAAGAATTGAAAGCTGGTGTCTGAGCAAATGCACACGAATGTTTGTAGTAGTGTTATTAATAATATCCCAAAGAGACTGGGATATAAAACTCAAGAGTCGAGTGCCTGCCTCATATGCACAAGGTCCTGGGGTTGGTGCCCAGCACACAAACAAAAATAAACACATAAACAAGTAGAAATTAGATATTGCTCACCAAGAGTACTTACCCAGCAGGCACAAGGCCCTGGGCTTATTGCCAAGCATCATAAACAGATAAATAATAAAAAACTGGGGATATAGTTCCATGGTAGAGTGTTTGCCTAGCACATTCATTGGTCCTGGGTTCAGTGACCACTACCACAAAAATAATACTCCAAAGGCAGTCAGGTATGGTGGCTCATACCTGTAACCTTAGGGAGCACAAGGCCTGTCTGGTCCATATAGTGAGTTCTAGGACAACTAGGGCTACGTAATGAGGAAAAAAGAAAGTATCCACAAGACATAAACATCCCAAATGTTTGTCAGTAATGAATAGATAGGTAATGTTGCATATCCACATGGTAGAATATTACTCAGCCACGTAAAGTGATGGTGGAATATTACTCAGCCATGTAAAGTGATGAAGTACGAACATATGCTGTTACAACCTGATGGACTTATTAAAATATCATGTTAAGCAGAAAAAGCTAATGATAAAGTGTCACTCAGTAACACCCTTCAGATGACTAGCTAAGAAGTCTGTCTGGGCGAGTAAGATAAGGGTCTTCTGCTTCTTTGTTTATATTTTTGGGACAGGGCCGTATGTAACCTAGGCCAGCCTTGAACCCTTGATTCTCCCACATCTGAGTCCCAAGTACCGCGATTACAGGCATTCACCTGCCATGTTTGTTTTAAAGATCTTTTTCGATTAATTTTCATGGGTGATAAAATGTTCAGCGATGAAGGGAGCAAGACACGTGCATTTCTTTTAGAAGCCCTTCCTTCACAGAGGAGCTGGGGAAGAAACCAGAGAAGATCAGAGAGACCTTGATTCTGGATTCTGAGGCAGCTTCTAAGATTTTCCAACTTCCCCCCACCCTCCACCCCACCCCAGCCCCACCCCCTACTCCCACCCCTTTCCAGCTCCCATTCCCACTCACCCCCACCCCA